ATTAGCTGGTGTATAAGTCATATTTTCTGTACAATTTGCTGCAAATGATCTTGGTGGCCACCTTGATGATATAGTTGATGAGACTAATGAGTCTGTATTGGTCGCAGGTCGCTCGAAGCTTTTGAGGGGCGGTAATGAAAGACGACACTAACCAGTCAGGAGGTATTTTTCCTATTATCATAGATGAGATTCAACATTCTTTCCAGAGATTTGAGGAACTCCGTGTTACAGTCATATTTTTATCAGTTTTACACGACTTCATCAGGTCCAGGCGATTTATTGTTTTGCATATTGTGGACAGCTCTCTGAATTTCATCTTTTGTTATGCGTGGACATGGTTCAGATTCGTCAATATTGTCAATAATCTAATAAAGCTGCTTGAATATATTGCTTCCACGTCTTTAGCTTTTCTGTCTTTTCTTTTATAAGTTTACCATCCGAGTCTTCCAGAGTTCCTTGGGTGGTTTTCTTCCTGGTGGTTTCATCCTGTGCGCATTTAACTCATCATGCATTCTGTATAGTTGCTCAATCTCGTTACATTCCTCTATTACAGCGTTAATTTCCTTCCTTATTCTCCTGTGTACTGAACGATATTTTTCCATATTTTTATTTTGGAGTATTCGTCTCTAATCCTTTTGGGTCACGATCTCGTCATCCATTCCTTCTTCTTCACACGTATATTTCTTGGTACTTGTCACTGGTATTCCTAATAACTTGGGCGATTCTGTTCCATTTTTGTATGGGTTCTTATGAGGTTGCCACTATTTCTTCTAATCCGGTTTGAAATTCTTCTTTTACTTTCTGTTCAACTGCGTCTTCTCTGAGCCTTCAAATAACTATTTTGTTGCTTTGTGGGGTTTCAGTTGTTCTTTTTAGTTTTTTTTTCAAGCTTACAAATCAGTGGATAGTGGATTCGATCTCTGTAACAGTAAATTCAACTTTCGCACTTACTTTTAAAGATGTTGTTACATTAATGATTTCATCATGTTTATAATAGAATAAATGTTTGTTAATTCGATGAACCTTAAAATTAAAAAAAAACCAACAACATTAGCTTTTCAATACTTTTAAATACACAAATCTCGAACTTCAAGCAAACTGACATTCTATCGTTTTGTGAAAGGACATTCTATTATGTTAGTTAGTTTCATGGTCAAGGTAAATGGCATCAGGTTCAACAATCGACGGTGTGGGCCTGTTGATATTTATTTTCAAATTAAAATTACGGTTGCAATACGGTTTCAATTTATCGACCTATAAATTCAATAAATCTAATTTAATTTATATATAAGTGAAATAGTGAACAATGACTCAATTTGTAAAACATTATAGCGGATAATTAGTTCACTGTGTTCAATAGGTAATACCGGTTTTACATATTTATTGAGCTGGTTTTTTTTACTTCCTGTCTATTTTATTTCTAATATTCTTATTAATAATAATACGCTCGAGACAACGTAAAGTATCAAACAGTTTGAAAGAAAAAGGAACAATGACCGAATTCAATTCTACTACTATTTATAGAAATGTAAATTTACTATATTCAAGAACAATTCAATTACAAATTACATAATAGTAGAAAATAATGTTTTATTGAATAATTTATTATTTGCTTTTAGTTAGAACAAACATATATTTGACTGATTTATAAAGTTTTGTTAAAACGGAAAGTTGAGGTGAAACTTTACGAACATATTTTTGAACCCATTTCTAAACCAACATTGGCTAATAAGAAAAAGATCAGGTTAAATTTGAAAAATACCCGGCAGAAGAAGAACTAAAATATCAACTGACTAAATAAATAATATCAATTATAAACGATGATATAATGTTGAAGCACAAGCAAATGGCTGGTTTTTGCAATAAAATCTCAGACTCAAAGAAAATTTAATGAGTTGACGAAATTTTGCTGGCAGCAATAACATTCCTTTCTATGTGAAATGGCTTAAGCAAGTAGAAATTGTCTTTATTAATTTTGCTAATATGTCCATTAATAGTATATAAACATTTAGGTATCATGATTATACTTTTTCATTTCTGTACTGAAACTGGTGAGTTTCTTTTGGCGCCGTGGAAAATCATTTATTCCTGACGTTTCGCAAGCAGGAGCTGCAGTAATTAACCATATTAATGGTCAAAAGTCTTAAAAAATATATTTTTTTTGAAATATCGGGAAAATCGTCCGATGGATATTAATGAAACTCGCCGTGAATTTGTTCCTTGCAAGGTTCATGTTTTGATGAAGCAACCGAGTTCATCCACTTTGGGAAAGTGAGGAATTCTTTAGTGTCTTGGTACAAAAATTAGCAGAACTTTTTATTTGGTAATCAGCGGACTTTTTGTGTAGATGCATTAATCCTTTTCGAACATTTTTGAGCTCTTTGGAAAATCTTGTAACATTCATAGACTTTTTGCAAAAAAATCAAGGTTTTCACGACACTCGCTGTGAATTTGGTACAAAAACTACCAGAACTTTTTATTTTGTAGCTGAATTCAGCTGATTTTTGTGTTTTGTGTTGATGCACTAAAATCTTGTAGCATTCATAGCTTTTGCAAAAAAAATATTTCTGTGTTTTTGCTATTTAACAATTTCATCCATTAACGGCAAGCGTCTTAGTAAGCGATAATGTTCTTTTATGATAAATTAATTGTCAACCGTTTTATAATTTTTAGCCTACCAACATGGTCAAAGTCTTAGGCCCGTTCGTGTTTTGGAAGCGTTTTCGTCCGAATTGCGTTCATCACAAAACTCACGAAAAGACGAAGCGAAAGTTTAGCAAAATATGGCCCTGACGTAAGAACAAATCTGCATAAGGTCTTATTAAATTCAATCTGATCACTTTCCCGATATTACAAAACGCTTCCTTTAAGTTTTGTTAAGTAAAAAGTAAATGAATGGCTGAAGTGAAGTATTTTTTTTTTCAAAAACCATCGGTGCTGCAAGATTTTGCAAAGAGTACAAAAATGACTAAAGAGGATTAGCGTATCAACAAAAAAAATCAGTTGATTTCAGCTACCAGATGAAAAGTTCTGGTAGTCTTTATACCGAGATGTTAAAGAATTCCTCACTTGCCCAAAACTCGATTGCTTTACCACAACATGAGTATTACATAGGAATAAATTCGTAGCGCATTAAGCGCCATCGTACCATCCTCGGGATATTTGAAAAAATACATTTTTTTGAACAACTGACCATCAATAGCAGACGCGCCAGACATTTTATCTTATCAAAAGTTAGATCAGATCGTCTTCTTTTGATCCAAATAATATCGCAAAAGTTGTGCTTCCGAATAGTCAAGAATATTCTTTCCCCACGACGGCTTCTAAATGACCAATTTCCAGTAATAAAGCCAACCTCCTTTGATTTTTTTCCTGTTTTATTCGCACAAGTAGAACAAGATAAACCTTGGTAATTTTAATATTTTAGGAATCATGCTTATGCTTAATAGGCAAGAATCGCGCAACTTTTTGTAATATCAAGATTAAAACCATCAAGACTATAACCGACCATCATGTTCTGAGAAACAATTATATAACGTTAAAAATGTCTATCTATGTACCTGCCCACCGTAGGATTATAAGATGACCTCAGATAATTGTCGTTGTACCAATTCTTATGGACTTTGCACGAGCACTTTGCACGAGATTTTAAACTTCAAGTCATTTTTTTAAAACTACTTTTTGTAAATAGTTTTTAAATCACACCATACTTTTTCACGAATCTTGACTTCATAAATTGCATAAGATTAGCAGAAAATGTATGCGATATTTACAGAAATAACTTATATGTAATGGTATTGTAAGATCCATTATAAAAACTATGCACTTTCAACCTCAATAGTCTAAGAACATTTATTTATTAATTAATTCGCAATCCTTTTCAAATATCTTAATCATGTTACGTTTGATGGATTAATTAAATCTACCTACTGAATGAAATAAATAATTCAGTAAGCTCTTGACTTTCAATTGCTACTAAATCCATTGCAATTTTGTACGAGTATTAAATAACATTTACCGCCGACGCGTTATTTATACCACTTAGGGGATACTCGAGTGATTAGTTTTTAGCACAGTTTAACATGTTAACCATTAAGTGAGTTCACATGTTAAAAGAGATGTAAGATTTCGACATCGATCAACAGTAAACGCGTTTGACCGAAAGCTTTCGTCATTGTTATAAAACTAACGGGTGAACTAAATTATATATAAACTAACGCAAACTATTAATGAGACAGCAACAAGTCACACCAAGATTTGTGCAAAATATTCTATACAATGCAAATAAATAGAAAAAAAATCGGTTGAAATTGAAACTATCAAAACTGGACAACACAGAAAATTAAACATTAGAACAATTTGAAATACAGTATATAGAAATAAGAAACATGGGAAGCCAACTACCAATAAATTAATTATATGGTTAAAAACAATCTGAACTTTTAACTCCATGAAAGCATGAGAAGGCTATTAAATTTAAAAAGAGAAAAAACCAGGAAATTTGAATGAAAGAAGTGAAGAAAAGAAGAACAAATCAATAAATTCAGCATTTCCAAGATCAGTTCTAAAAATCAGCTGACAGTGAACAATTTTCGATTCATTTGCAGACTTGAAGTTATTCATAACCAGTTTGGATAATGAGCTGCTAATAAAAAAACCGACTTTAGATACTTCCAATTATAGTCAGCGTATAAAAAATGGAATCTATTAATTATTAATATTTGTTAAGCTACTTTGCTAGTTGCTAGTTACAAAGCTTTCGCCCTTCACTGTTACGCATTCTAAGTAAGTTTCAGTAAATGGAAACAGATACCAAAACATGTCATTGTCAATTAAATTCAATAAATCAATTAATGCTATTGCAAAAATACAAAAGTACATAACACTAAGTAATTAATGTCGTGACCAAGAGCTCGATTAATTATTTTTCACGGGTTTAGAATGGACGTAAGTTATAACAGTTTTCTCAATAATTAAACACACATAACTGTATCAAACGGTGGAACGGTTGACCTTTATTTTTATAGCGCAATTTCTGTAGAACTTGACGATCATCATTAACGTTAGTAAACAATACAACAAAGTAAAAGTGAGTTATTTTCAATTAGGTGTGCAAGTGCCAGCACACGAATCAATTGGAAAATCTTTGATGGACGAAAATCATTTCAGCCACCACTTTATTGCCCCATCTAGAGATATTTTGCAAATTCTTGGAATTAAGTCTGGAACTTGGAAAGTAAGGAACATGTCTAAATAATACAGCATTAATAAAATTAAGAATTTTCTATGCAGGATTAATGAACGATATTACGAGAAGAGCGTCTGAACAATTCAGTCTTCCCAATATTCTTTCCTTGGGTAATCAGTAGTTAATGTAATTGATCTAACAGCACGTTATAATAGGTCTGAATAATCTGGTAATAATCTGAATGGAATAAACAAAAAAAAACAACAATCTTTTTTTTCTGATTAGCCCAAATAATTTGTTAAATATTAAACGGTCAACAAATGGCAAGCAGGAACTGTGCACTGTTTGCAGAGAGAATATAAGAAATACAAATACAGATTCTAAAGTGGTAAAATTACCACGTTTCCATTGAAATAAAAATGGCTTTTACATATTCTTTCGGAGGAAGCTGAGATGTTCCCTTCTACTAGAAGCGCATCTACATATTTACTTCATGGATTATTTTCATTGCTGGTGATTGTTGTCTTTGTATTTTAGTTTCATACCAAAATTTAATTCCTCTGTTTAATGTGGTTTAAATGATATGTTCCGTTTTGTCTTTCTCATACTAAATAGTATCTTCAACTTAAAATCGTTGTAATTGTTTTATTTTTTGATTTTCCGGAAACTGTGGTGTATCATTCATATATTTTCCGTTGCAATATAATTTTGCATACTTTGGTGCTTGTACAGTTGTTTCATATAAAACTTGTATTAAGCCCGCAATTAAAATCATCTGGATATTTTGCTAGAAATTCGATTTGTTGACACCAACAGACAATTTCGGCCCGTTTTCACTTTATCTCTCCCTTATAGTTATTTTCGCATTCGTTTTTCGAATTTTGCCATAATTTATTTTCACTTTTTCCATAATTGATATTGACCAATTTAGCCTATTGATTAAATCTAAACCATGTTGGCTGTAGGGGAATAGAGAAGTTTATTAACTGTGTCTACTATTAAGCTTTACGAAGTATTTGAACAATATCTTATAGTGTAGGCTAGGTAGATTTTATCTCTAAAGGTAACAGCGGCCAGAATTAACCAGTCTAAGTGTCTGTGATTGTTGTTGGCATTATGACAAACTATTTTTTAAACAGCTAAAGCTGAACCGAGATAAAATGAGTCATGTATTTTAAGAAAGATAAAGAACTCAGCTCAGTTTAACTGTAATTCTCTATGTAACCTTGTAAGTTCTTAAGGCAAATAATTATAAGCATAATTCAGTAATTTAATTGTCCATTGAACGAGTATGGTTGTTCGATGCAGTAACTTAATATTCTACAAAAAAAATTGTAATAATCAGAATCTGAAACTCACTTCAAGAACAGGATTTATTAGACAAATGTTTGGGGCAGGTGAATAATTAATTAAAAATTCTTGCGGGCTTCGTGTTATTGTGGCTCTAAAAGTGCATTTTTTAGAGTTGCGTTAAAATGATGTGTAATAATAGCAGTAAATATTCGTACTTTTTCGTAGTTGTGTCTTTTTACTTAATTCACCTTCCAAAAGATGAGTGAAATGATGCAAATCCACCAAAAGAATCCGTAAATGTTTGAACCGACGCAATGGTCAAATAATAATATTTTGCACCTATTCACAGAAGAAACAGAAAAAATGAAAAATTAATAATAAAGAAATTACATTCCGGGAGGAACACAGGAGCAGTAGAATTTATTGGCTCTAAAACATTTTTTTTATGTTTTATGTTTTTTATTTTGTTTACATTAATTGTAATTGTTTATTCAATTTAATTAATGTTGCTGATTATGATAATTCATAACCAATCATAATTAACTCTCAATCTACACAGCCTTATTACATTTACTTAAAGTTTTACTGCACTAATTAAAATGCTCTTCTTGTCTTGATAAAGACCTGAATAAAGCCCGAAACTAGTTTTAAGTAGTTCAGCAGTTCAACCAAACAGCGAATATTTTGACAACTGTTGAAAACTACGAGTTTAAGGATTTTTTCGGACAGTATAAAGTGTAAAAAACAGAAAAAACTATTTTTTTGTTTGCATAGTTTGGTATAAATAATTTAAACAACTGCAAGAAATAACCAACTGAAAACGATAAAAATGCTCTTTTCATGGACTTTTTGTATGTTCAATGTATCGCTTTATAAAATACAAACAGTGAACGTTCGACCTTAAATAATGTAAATTCTGGTGGCCCATGGAAAACGAAACAGATATATCAGAATCAGTAGAAATAAGTTTTCACATGACAATGGCAACTGTTCACCTATAAAGATGAACGATTCCGACAAAAAGTGTTGAAGAAACATTAAGCTGCAAAACACCCATCAGTGAAACCCCGAACTAAAAAAAATGCGACTAAGGTCTCAGTAAAAAACAATAATGTAAAATCGTGCGTAGACTTCCTTTCAATCTTAATTCGTTTACCGTGCCAGTTATAAAGTGAATAATTAATACATTACATAAAGAACTTTAAAATAATCAAACCTGTTTTAATTCTCCCGTGGCGAGTCGTTGACCAGATAAAGGACATCGTACAATGAAGATTAAGACCGGCAGAAATAATGAAATGACTTGTCAAGCATACAGCTTTTCAAGTTTTTTTTAGTCTGTACAGAAATATGCTTTGTAATAATTTGTGATTCGCTTTTGTAACGATTAACGAGGCCTTTGAGAGCCCTTGAGAACGTCAATTGCACGGTCAGTAATGTGGCTGTTAAATGTGTGCAAACTCTTCACAATTGCATGACTTATTTAAGGTTGCAATTTTTTATATGGAGGCAGTTTTGGTGAATTTTTGTTTTACTAAAGAGTATTGGAGGCACTAGAATTTTTTTATGCTGATCGAAAGTGTTGTAAGTATTCATACATGTATGTACTTAAATTGAATCTTTTCCTGAACTATTGAAAAGTGCTGATTTTACAAATATGGTCGGGGTTACTTATATGATTTTTTTTAATATCAAGCTCTCGATTTGAAGTGGAAAAAACCTTAATAAGGAATAAAACTCGAATAATTCAGGTTCAGCTCCGAAAGTGAGGACCATTTAACGTTTATCGTATCTTTAAAGCAATGAAAACACGTTTCTATAAGCAAAGCAATATACATATTACATCATGGAAATGTAAGCTCATTCACATCAAAATTTCCGGTCGTGTAATTTGTTAATTTTTACTGTAAATTATTCAAAACATACGCAATCTTAATTGACAAAATTCAAAGTGGAAATAAGTGGAACATTAATATTCATCTAATGGAAAATGTGAATAATAATGAAAACAACATTGACGTGCTGAATAAGTTGAATTAAAAAGTGTCATTAAATAACGGTAGAAGCGCCAAAATGTATAAATTTGATTTAACCATTTAAAATTGTTCAAGTACCTGCCAATAAGAGGAATATCAGTGAATAGCTTAATTTAAGGCTCTAGTTCTTCACTGGTAGATGAAGCTGGGCCATGTCTATGTCTATTACAGTTCTTTTATTTATTTGCTTGAAATTTTAATTTTGTTTTTGTACACAAATGTGCTAACTGGGGTTTAGCGCATTTTCGTGGCAATAAAACGGCAGAACTAAAAAGGGAATTAAATTGACGAAAGAAGGCGAAGGAGAAACTGGTAAAGTATACAGCAACGAGACATTGGAGCGAATGAGAAAGAACTAAAAGAAGTGTTATGAAGAAATTGTACATACTTTCCTGACTGTGTTTCAATTCCAAATCAAAATCAATTCCTGGGCTTCAGTCATTTATTGCCTATTTATCAATTAAAATACGTTTCGGTGTTTTCCACCATCATCAGTTTCTCTAAAATAACAGATAGTAAAAATGTAAAATGTAAAATGTAAATGAAAAAATTTTTTTGTTACTATCTGTTATTTTAGAGAAACTGATGATGGTGGAAAACACCGAAACGTGTTTTAATTGATAAATAGACAATAAATGACTGAAGCCCAAGAATTGATTTTGATTAGGTTATGCAGAAATCAAACGAAGAAAACTCCGAATAATAGGTGAACAAGCACTGTTTATTGTAGAGACAAAAGGAGATGAGAATGTAAATGACTATCAAAGTTCAAACACTAGCACGGATAAAATAGATTGCTGATTTGATATATGAAAATGTACAGAAGAATATTAAATTCTTACTTAATTCTAAACTCCAGGTTTGGAGGAATTTACTAATATATGAACGAATGGATGAAGAACGTAGACCATAACGTGTGTTCCTCCTTGGGGACTTTGTAGTTTTGGAACTTGCAACGTTATTTACTTGTACTCATGTTTTATTATACATGAATTGAAAAAAGGAGTTTTTCAAAGATTTTCGTGATTTAATTTAAAATATGTCTTGGGGGTTTGTGTTTTAAAATTTTGATTTGCATTTGATTTGTTTTGAGTTAAAATTTACGATGTTAAATTTCTAAGTTTTAAACAGATGGGTTGCTGTTTTAAAAAGAGAATATGAAAAATTTCTTTATTACAAACTAATCGCTCTCCTTATGTTGGTCGATTAGTGAACTATTTAACTAGCCGGAATTATTATTCTGCAAGCCGCAGCCCTTCCAATAATTCATTAACAATGGTAAATTTTTCACGACAAATCAAAACTTTGTACCGATTTCTTATAAAATGTCTTAACCGTATTATTATTATGCAGTTATTACATAATAATGTCATGCAAATTGCTATTGATATATTGAAATGAACATTACCAATTATCATAATTTGTGCTCGGATATATGTTATTTGTCAACGTAATATATTGGTGCATTTTTGACGCCAATAAATTATCGTTTTTTTCCATATCATCAACTTTATAATTAATTAACTTAAATTAATTTTCATAATCAATAAGGCAATCAATTGAAAATCTGATTCGACAATAAAGTTTTAGGAGATTAATTAATTAACTGTTAATTACACACAGTTGAAAACTTTGCAACCGACACAGTTCCAAAGTAAAATTATTTTTTTGCAAACAATATTCTAGAAAACAGTTCGAAATATATACATTAACCTGCACAAAAGACAGACAACAATATTAATAATCAACTGCTCCTTAAAGCTCAAGGAAAAGTAAAAGTTAAGTTTTAATTAATTTGATAGAAGCAAATTAGGGTTTTCTTTCAGTTGATTGAAGTTTGGGCATTCATTTTGGCTATGAAAGTATTTTCTTTTTTGTTTTCGATTTGCCTACTGTTAAAATTAGCAAATATCCACATTGTGTATATAAATATACTTTATTATAAATGTTATACATTAAAAATCTGATATAGTGTTTTTAGTTTATACTTGTCCGATTTATGTATGGCTGGCTGGAAACTTATTTTGCAGTTTATGGACGTTATCCTTGAGTTTTTAGAGAAAGGATTTTATCATTTTTTTTTGAAAATGAGATTATCACATTTATCAACTGAGCTGGCAAGAACAACATTATGTAAAATAAGTATACTTTGATGAGCCTTTGTTAAAGTAAAGCGCGTTTTTGCAGGGTAATTAGCAATTTTTAAAATACCCCTTTTCTTGTATCCTGTAGATCTCTACACTTCAAATTATTTTTCTTGCTAGGGCTACAAAGCTCACATGGAAGATTATACTCTTTACTTATTTATTCTCCCACAAAACCGCGACATTCAAATCAACAACAGACATCTTCAATAACCAGAAGGTAGGTAGAAGCTATGATGTTTAACTTACCGTTCTTGGAAACTGGCGAGGATGTAAAAGTAAATACACCGTGTTAGGCTGAATTTTTATTTGAACCACCAATGCCTTTTTATTATACCCTAATTAGTACCTACGAACACCCAGAATGGTTAAAAACTTGCATTGTAGCAGTGGTGTGAACGATCTGTGAAATCCGGCTATTATGTGTAGTGGTAGAATGGCTGCAAAGTTGAATTTACTTGTGTGTTGGGTGCTGTTGCGAATTGGCTTGAGGATGCGTTCGTTCACCTTAATAACAGTATCTAATAAAAAATCATATTTAAACTGGTTTTCGCGTTGTGGGATCAATAGACCGAAGCTTGATTTGAAATTCGTAGCCCAAGAATCGCAATCGAGCGTTTATTTAATCCTGGCGAGTCGATTTTGATGGAAAACAACTGGCGTATAATTTCGTCCCCAGTTAATTAAAACCGAAATGAAACACTTCTTTATGACAGTAGTCGATTAACAATATTTATAGAATAAATACGATGATGTAATTCGAACGAAATTGTCCGCTTGTTTTTTTTTCAGCTGCAGACCAATTCAGACTCAGTGCGAAAAGAACACCCAACAAGAACTTGAATGGGGGCCAATATTTTAGAGCATCGCATCAAATATTGCAAAAATCATCGAGATAATTTCAAGGCAGCATACAGTGAGGAGTGGTAACTCCACCACCGTTGGCGTCTTTTTAACAGCCAGCGGTTGAGGAGTTCCTCAACCTCGCGGATGTTCATGTGGAGCTTAAAGCTCTCAACCACCATCTAAAAATACGGTTTATTTATTTATTGACTAGTTTATTTTATAGCATTATTATATAAACTAGCTTAGGCTGATTTTTTTCCTTCATTCGTAATTGCTGAAAGTTGGTAATTACTAAGCTACCAATAGATGTAAAGTATTTGCATCCGCAACACCTGAAATGTTAGTTAGAAGCTGATGTATTAGGTTTTATTTTCAATTATTTTATTTTATTATTCTGTATTAGGTATATAGATTTTACGATAGACTGAAACGAATCAATTACATTTGCTTTCTATAACAGTCTGTACTTTCCTTGTAAAAAATATAATAAACATATTTGGTGACCCAAACAGAGCTTCGAGTATTTAATTGATATTTTAATAAATAAAATATGAATGAATAAACAGAGGGCATAAATGAATTACAATGAGAAAATAGAATGAATATGAATAAATATAACATGAGCCAGTGCTCATTCCCAAAATAAAGATAATTCTGTTACTACAATTATCACACTTTTCTTGCTATAATTTGCTTAAAAGCGCAACTCTCTATATTTGTCAATCAAAAGTGTTACGCTGCAGTTTGGTAATCATTATATTAAGTGTCCTTTATTTTAAATTTACAACTTTGTACTAAAATTACAAATCGAAAAATATGTTTACAAAAGAATAAAGTATTTATTTAATCGACCAAACATTAATTACACTTCTTTATTCTTTATATGCCTAGTACCTAATAAGAGTGTTAACATATCATAACTGAGAAAAAATCACATTGCGGTTATTTTTCCACGAATTAGTAATATCTATACCTAGAATACACAATTTGTAAAATTACCATCGGTATTTATGAGCAATAGAAAGAGGAGTGGTATTAGTTACTACACAGATTCTACGACAAGTAAAATTGTACAAGTTGTAAATTCACAGCGCGAATAGTGGTCGAGTGTTGTTAGTTAAAACTGTAGAAACATTATGTTAGGAGTTGTTTGTCCGGATGTACTTCTTTCTTCTGCATGAAAACAGTGTTTCTTGATGATTGAACTGAATGGTAGGTTCACTTCATGCGGCTAGCAGGAAATTACTTTAAAAAGACTAATTTCACATAAGTAATGAGCATTATTATTATTGAAATTTATCGATAAATACGCCAATGTAACAGTCCTAGCCAATATATAAGATATACATATAAAGATGACAATAATAATACTTAAAAAAATAAAATAAATAAATAAAATCATAAACAATGGGCATAGTATATCTATATTTCAAGAAAAAATACACTGCAAAAATTACACTTGAATTATTATTACTATATATTATTATGAATTACACTTGAAAATTTAACTTACAATATTTTATGTCACTGCTACTTTTAGTATATGTTGTTTCTTTTTAAGTGTACAATAAATGTCTGTTGTTTGTTTATTTCACTTAATCCGAATTCTACCGGAAGAGCCTAATTGGAATGTATAGTACTAGTGCAGCCAAATTAAATTATTATTTAAATTTCGTAAAATTGATTCATTGGAGTTTTATGTTTATTTAAAAAATACCAACATCAAATTAGATTTATAGACTACAAAGGCAATGCAGTAAGTGAAAACTACAACAAAAATTCACAGGTAATAACAATTTTAACTGAATTTATTCAAAACCCATTCGGCACTTCAAAAGTCAGCTAAAATTACATGTGTGTTCTGAATCAACAATCTGTGGATTTATTTCAAACAAATGTTCATATCAGAGGCAATTTTTTTTTAAGTTTCATGGAAAGGGCGCTTGCTGACCGAGCGACATCAGATATACAAGTACAGCTCAATCAGTGCATTTTGTTGCGGTTAGTACTAGTTAATAGTAGCGGTTTGTTAATAATATTACCAAGACAGTTATAAATAATTTTCTCGGTATTCTCATGTTTACGAGGTTTATTCACATGTCGTACGAACCACATATATATTTTTTTTATCTCACACAGCATTATTTACTTAGAACTGTATAGATGTTTTAAGCTATAAACTCTGTACGTATAATGAACTTTCGTATGTATATGGGCTTTGATTGAACTTTGTTTGTTTAAATTTAAAATACTTTAAAAGAAAGAAGGTTATAATATTTAATACAGTTATTTTCGCTTTAAAATATGTTTCTAAACCAGTTCGTTTTTATATACCTATACAACTTTTCAAATAATTTATATACCCAAAATTCACTGGCATATTGTTCAGGCAAAAGTATTGCATTACAGGCAAATTTGACTTATCTGAAAGTTAACAGTTTCCGAGATACAGGGTGCTAAAGTTAAAATATTTTTTGTGTATTTTTAATAGATTCTTAACCAGTTTTACTACGACCAAAAAATGTGTATTTAGGAGTTTGGATCGACAAATCCAAATTTCCTAGTGTCTAACTTGTAGATCCTAGAATGCGCTAGCTGCAATAGTCTGGAACCATGAAACTGCAATGGACATCTCGATTTTAGGAGATTTCATGGAAGCAGCTGATTAATCATTAGGAATATTTCGACAGGACCTTTTCCTACTAGGAATTTATATAAAATTCCTGACCTTGTAAAGGCTAGAAGAGACATAATAAAACGGTAGCGAGGTCTCAAAGTGTCAGAACTTCTATCGGGAAAACGGTACAAAATATTTAAGTGATCATTCAACTTCGACGGTACGCTACGAAAACTTTATTTCCATATTTAGTTCCATGTGGAAAGTCTAACATTTAAAACGTTAATCAAAAGTATACCAGTGTCATGTTTAAATGATTATTTTAATATTAATTAATTATATTTATGATAAAGTTTAGCCCTTATCCAAAAATCCATTAGAAATATATAAAGCTTTTCGATAGAGCGCTTTGGCTTCCTGTTCCTAATTGGACGTAAATAGATCAATAAATCACCTGGAAAGCAAAATCAAGTACAAACCATTTTCAAAAAACCACTATAAAAAACCGCACAGAGCGAAATCGAAAGCCACTTCAAAAAAATTATGAAATCTGCACGTAAGCAGGATAAATGCTGTCAAAGAAAAACTACAATCCTGGTTGCCATCTAGTTCTACAAAATAAACAGACCGCTGAAATTCCCTAAGATCCGATTTTTTCTCTAAAAACTCAACGCAATTTAATTTGGAAAAAAAGGCGAAATCTAATTGGAAGGACCACTTACAACTTTTTAAGGCACTATCCGCTAGACCGCCACAAAGTAATAAATAAAATTCACATACCTTTAGGCACTTTAGTCTGGATTCTGGGGTATTATTAAATTGAAAAGCAGCAAGAAAAGAAATTTACAACCCAAAAATAGTAATAATTGACAATTGACATTGACAAGAAAAGTTGAAATTTTAAAATCTGAGCATACAAAAACCGCTTAGTGTCGAGTGTAATTGATAACAGGACACACCAATAATTGATACAAAATACCCTACACGAGCATAAATGTGCAATTTGTGCAATTCACAGGAGAACGCTATTTATTTTGTATTTAAACTGTAAAAGTTTATATGAAAACAGTCTGCCATAGAAAACCTCGAGTTAATGTCCAAAGGCTGACTTGAAATTAATTTTCCGAAAAACAAAACTAAAATTTCTGTCATAGAAAACTGCAAGTTAATGTTTAAAAACTGACTTTTTGACGTTTTATAAAAGTAAAACAAAGAATTCAAAAACTCCCTTGTCGAAGAAATATTAAATGCAACAATATAATAAAATACAAGTCAATAATATGGGAATAAAAGTTCTACAACTTCGGCAAAGTAATGCCAAACTTACCGAAAGCTGCACCGTGCCACCTGGAAAGAGAAACGAACATGCGTTTAGTAGATCAGAAAATCTGTTCAAAGCCATGACAGGAAATCAGCTCAACAAAAAAAGAAAAATATAAAAAATCCATGAAACTTTAGTTGCGTTTCGAAAAATTAAACTCAGTTCAAACTAAAGGATTTATGTACATACAGGGTGGTTTTTTAGTGCGAGAGAGTCCATTATGTCCGTTGGTGTTAAACTTTCCAAAAATAGTTTCATATAAAAGTTGTTGACGCACAAAGTGCGCACATTTTGAAAATATCTTATATGACACAGAGTGTCTCAGAAAAGCGAGGCAAGATCAAAGTGTATTTTTTTAAATAGAACTACCCATTTTTCATTAGCTCATGGAATGCAACTTGAAACGCTGCATATGCACCGTAAATTGTTTTTTCCTTACTTGCGACGTTGGCAGATTATCGCACTTTTAGTAAAATTTTGCTTAAAAACATGGTATCAAAATATCAATACATTGTACAGGGTGTGAACGATGTGGACTTTAATCTAGAGCTTTTTAACGCAATATAACTTTTGTTTTTTGAATGGAAGTACCTGAATATTGATACGTCATTAGATAGACAATTTACAAAGTTACAAATTTGCATTTACACTTGAAGCTGTGAAATCAACCGTTTTCAAATTATAAATTATTTTATTTAAACATTTCAAAAACGAAAATAAATTCCTCCCGTTTTTGACTGAAACGCATTAAAGTTTTCTCCAAAACCGATCACTAAACTAAAAGTTTTCAATCGAAAACGCAAAATAACATTATTTTCTGATGATTTACTTCTTTTCTGACAATAATGGGGTCTTTTCAGCCAAAAATGGCAAAATTGATGTTGCTAGAAAATTCGCCTCATTCATCGGTTTGCAGGGAACTTTAGAACCATTTTCAGCTTCGAAGTTGAGACAAAAACCAAATAATTTTATTCAGTTTAGTAATAAGTAATTAAGATTATCTTGCAAAATCGGTCAGGGAACAAAAGTTTAAAAAAAATTGTTTGGAAAATTCGCCGGCTATATCGCTCTGAAAATATTTCAAGTTTCTTTAAATTTTCAGGTCATTCTAGTTTTAACAAAGTTGCTATTAAGCAATTCTTTCTACTCAAAAATCGCATTATTATTTAGTTAAAATACTGACAATTTTCAGCTATTTTCTGTAAAAAATTATAAGATAGATTTTATTGGTTTTATTGGAGATTATAACACTCGCCTCCTCAATCGCTTTGCAAAAATGTTTGGAAAACTTTTTGCAGCTTCGAATTATAGACAAAACCCTAATAATTCATTCTGGATATTTTTTCAAAAATATTTCCCCGAACTGAAAAGGCGAAAGTTTATGATCATTTATTTGGAAAACTCTTGGAAACTGGGGTTTCTTCACTTTTAGGTCAATATTTCTAAGCAACACTGTCACTAAATGCAAAAACCGGGTTTTTACTAACGTTTTACTGCATAATACTGACAAACTGAATCTTTTATGCGAAAAATTAAGAGATTGATTTTACAAGAGAACTTGTCGACTTTCTTTGGACTCACTCACTGATGCTGGGAGAATCTAGATGATTTTTTTAGTTTTTTGAACAAAGTAGTAAAACGTTACTCAGAAAAAATGTTGATAACATTTTTTTATGTGAAAATTCCAGTCTCGGGTCTTGTAAAGCTTTAATAAATGACTATAACTCATTAACCGATGCGTTATTACTCGCTAACTCAGAGATCGGCAACAACTCAATAGCGCAACTCAACACAGTGTTACCCAGGCTTAGCGGTCCTCAACAAACAAGGTGACAAAATTCACTGACAGAGTTTAGAGAAAAATATTGCCTTTTATGCAAATTTGTATTATCTGAATGAAAGTCCTGAAACTCAATAATTTGTCTTTAAATGGAGTTATTTATGTATGTTGCCAAAGTTTCTCTGAGTGATTTTAATAACCGTTTCGTCGATATTGTCGAAATTTTGTAATGGGTTTACACCAGTAAGGGGCGAATTTTGCCCAACATTAAGCCTAGTGGTGGAGGTACCAATCTTCGAGCTGAGTTAATATTTTTGACAAAAAAAATTTGCACCATTGTCTTAATTTCAATTTACCTATTTTTCATATCTCGTTTCGTTTGCTTATTGATCTTTGCCGCGCAGATTAAAACTGTTTGCAAAAATTTGTTATTTATTACAGCTATGATTGACGACGGGCGTGCATACATACAAATAACGAATAAAAAATGCATTTAACTTGCAACCGCAAATTTTTTTAAATTTAATTTAATTTAATTTTATGCAGAATTTAAACAACAAAAATACACTTTCAGCACCGCTTAGACGTGCTTTTTTCTGGGCTTGAACTTCTGTCTAACATAAACTAAATAGGTAATCGAAAATAATAATTTTTCAGTGAAACTTTTTTTATTATAAGACCTTACAATTAAACTTAAGCTAGTAAATGAAGACAAAGTTTTTATTTTGCTTTGTGTCGAATATCGGTGGATTAAATGTCTGATATTTGCTAGAAATATGCCTTCGTTTCGTATCTAATCAAAAACAATCGACTTAGTTTTTGAAGCCAAAACTTTTCCAGATTGTCTTTCATATGTCCAAATTAGTTCTTTCAATCTTTAATATTTTTGCAAAATAAATATAATGGCTTCTCTTTTTAACAAAATAAAAGACTAAAATGCAGGTAAAACATAATTTTAATAAATTCAAATTTGTAGAAATTTTCAGTATTTTACACTTGTAAAATACTGTAAAATGTATATATGCATTTATTTTATTTTACATATTATTATAACCGTTATGGCTTCCTAATTGATATGATGGTATGATATATATCCTGTCCTGTACTTATTATCGTAGCTAGAAGATTAACTGATAAGTGAAGTAAAAACAACAAGGTACAAAATATTGATTTATCATTAATCCGCGAACCGAACTGCATTGTTTGGGTCTATATTTGTTAATCATAATAATATAACGCTGTTTTTATGTGCAAAATATTAAATTTATAGGTAGGAAAAGTGTTCCATAGAAATAGATCGTCATTTTATGAGGATTATTCGTTTCATTTCCAATTTTTCAGAAATTGTCCGAATTTAACTGACGTAATGGAGACAAAGACTGAAACTAAACGTTTTAATTTTGAAAATCTTAAGCTATACTTGCCACCTTCTATAAGCGGAGACGCTCCATATCTCAAAAATATGTTACTCAGGTAAGTGCATCCACTTGCGTTTCCATTTTTATTATTTATACTCGTTTAAATGTAGCGGAATAGTTGTAAATATTTATCAAGTCTTTCACGGGTGGAATTTTACTTTGATACAGAACAAACACTAATAAAAGACTAATTCTGTAACTCATTAGAAAATAAACATTTTGGATATGTATGCATTTCCAAATAGAATAATCAATATTGAAGTGCGTTTGCGGTTCAAATAACTGATTGAATGTCAGCCGATTGATTTAAAAACTTTTTCGAAAAATTTTAGATGATAAATATAACTAAACTGATAAACACTAGAACGGAAGTCAATTAAAATACCCTTCACGGAAATTACTGCCTTTTTAAACAATATGAATTATTTTGAAGAAAATTTTTTTCATAAGTGATAAGTGATGTAATCGGTAATTGCATTTTTAGAGCACCTTTACAATTATCTATCTATTCTATTGTGCAATTCAACGCTCGTGCTAAAAATAGCAAATCTGTTTTTAAAACTGTTATCAGCAAAAATACGTGAGCTTGCGTGAGTTTTCACTAATCAGCTATGATAATTTATAATGAAAATACAAATAAAACCAATCTAAAATGTACATCGTGTCAACTATTATGGGGCGTTGGCCTTAGCTTAAAAATGATTTAAACGAAGAAAAAAAGACGAAAATGAAAATAGATAAAGGAACAATTGAAAACGTGCATTCTACATCAGATTTATATGCAATTAAATCCAAAATAGATATAAAAACATTTGCACATGCAAAGTAGCCGATGCAATATTGCAACAAATAGATACAATATTTTTATAAAGAAAGCATTCTGCTCTGTGCTTATATCAGTTATGTCGTGTTTTGTGTTATTGCCACTTTTTCGTTCCCTCTCCAGACATCCTTTATAAACTCCCAACTATCACATCTAAACAAATATAACCAACACAGATATATAAGGACTGAAAAAAGTCGGCCATTAAACTCTTTCTGCTTATTAATAATGGAAAAGCCGCTGCCTATAGCCAGCACAATTCCCAGCATAATATCATTAATTCATCCGATTTCTTGGACATTATAAAAAGTTAATTTTCTCACCCAAGTGATGATGGCGTTGCCCAAGGGCCCTAGTTAATACCTTTACTACGCTACTGTTTAAGTCTCACTTCACAAGACGAGCAATCCTACAAAACCAGTTATTTTAGAACCTGATGTACCTGAAGAGTGGCGACTTTTTATTTTCTTCACTGAAGAGTTATATTTTTTGAATAATTACGTGTGACGGGAAGAAACGTAATCTTTCAATAAGTTGACTGGTCTTGCTGTAAATGGTATCGTAAGAATTATTTCTACTACATGGAAGCGGGCACTATTATGAGCTGAGGAAGTCTCGGAATGGATCAGCATGTAAACCTTGAAAATTCCGCAGCGGATTTTATTTGATCGTTTAGAAAAGGGCCCGAGTGACGTTGAGCATTTATTTGCACAGAAAACTGAGGCTTAGTTTCGTTCATTTATTCAGTAATTCTGCTATGATTCTTTCCATCAACTTAGCCGATGATACATTTAAGTACAACTTAGAAACCGATCAAGTTTTAAACCACAAGTTTAAAAACCACGGGTATTGTAATACCCGTGAAAGTAACTGCATAACTGTAACTGTTTTATTGTGAATTGTGAGTTTCCACACTTGTTAGCAACTATTCAATTTTGGTAATTTTAATACACTTTTCACTAGTCTAAGAGATGGAAGATGTTTACAGTTTATAAAAAAGTAAGTAAAATTTCGAAGTGTCCGTAATTATTATCTTGTATCTTAAATATTGCCTTTTATAATTAGAATTTTGTTGTGATGGCATCGGGCATTGTGTGATCTGGCCAATTTGAATGGTATTTGCTATATTTAGCATTTGACGGGTTTTCCACCCGTTCATCATTTCTTATCTGTTCTGATTTAAAACTTTTTTTTGAATATCTGATGTTGCAAGCTGAGCAGTTACGTATGTTACCTGTTTATGCTGGAGATAAGTCTATTGTTGAGAATCTGCTTTAGTGATTCATTTAATTATATAATAAGAGATTCTATTTAATTTTCACTTTCTATGCTTATTTAGGAAATTAATAGATTTTGGAAGTAATTGAACTTTTTAGTTTCTTGTTGGATTGCTTAATCGTCATACTTTTGTGTTTGTTCTCAATAAATCTTACCAGTTCTGGTTTTTAGGTGTTAGACTCAAGATTAACGGACCTACATGATCACGACCAAAATATAAATGTTATTTTAATGATAATAATTATAAGACGATGTAAAATACTTATTACTAACTTGTGGAGTAGAGCTACACTAGTAAGGTTTTTGGAAAAATACAATTTGATAGATTGATAAAATTTTAGGAATGATGGAAATAAATGAAACAATGTTAATAAAAGTGTAATTTTAAAAAAGAAGAAAATGTGTTTAGTGCTGCGGAAAGTCTGTTCAAAGTAATGTCATAGAAAATCAGCAAAACAGAAAGAGAAATGTGAAGGATCCGTAAAACTTCAGTTGTTTTGCGAAAGTTAAATTCGATTCAAACTAAATGATTTATAAATTTAAAATTATTCTTACCAACTGTCTGCAAGCTGGCGCCCCATTAAACACACTATGAAAATCCACTTCAAATTGAAAACTTTATAATCACTCAATTGAAAACTCAATAAACAATCGGACTTGCCTTAAAGCCCATATACAGGGTGTCCCGTAAGCTCATGATCAAAAGGGTACTGCGATATTCTTTGGACCAAAAGAAGACGATCTGACCTAACTTTTATTAACAAAAAATGTCTGGTTCCTCTGCTATTGATGGTCAAAGTTCTTCAAAAAAATTATTTTTTTTAAATATCGGGAGAATGGTACGATGTATTTTAGTCAAACTCGCTGGGAATTTGTTCTTATGTAAGACTCATATTTTGATGAAACAATCGAGTTCAGCCGACAAGTGGTGAATTCTTGAGTGTCGTGGTACAAAACCTACCAGAACTTTTTAGTTGGAGGATGAAATCAACTCATTATTTTAGGTTGATGCACTAATCATTTGTTCACAATTGTGTGCTCTTTGTAAAATCTTGTAGCATTCATAGCGAAAAAAAAATTTCTGTTTCCTTACCACTTAACAATGTTAGACATTACCTGCAAATATCGTGATACGAGGCATAAAATCATTGTCAGTCAATCTCACATTCGTTTTGAATGACCTTTTCTAATGAAGAAGTGACCGACATGGTCCAAGTATTAGGGTTTTGCGAAAACAATTTGCGTGAAAGCGTACGCGTTTACGCGGCGCATATTTGCAGTAAATGTCTAGCATTGCTAAGTGACTAGAAAACAGACACATTTTTTTTACGCAAAAACTATGAATGCTACAAGATTTTACAAAGAGCAGAAAATTGTGAACAAATGATTAGTGCATCAACCTAAAAAAATGAGTTGATTTAATGCTCCGACTAAAAAGTTCTGGTAGGTTTTGTACCATGACACTCAAGAATTAACCACTTGTCCAAAACGGCTGAACTCGATTGTTTCATCAAAATATGAATCTTACGTAAGAACGAAATCACAGCGAGTTTTATTAAAATGCGCGTTCCATTCTCCTGCTATTTTAAAAAAGACATTTTTTTTAAAGAAATTTGACTATCAATAGCAGAGGAGTCAGACATTTTTTGTTAATAAAAGTTACGACAGATCGTCTTCTTTTGGTCCAAAGAATATCGCAGTACCCTTTTGATCATGAGCTTACGGGACACCCTGTATATTCAACTTTGACTTACCTATTCCTAACGTACGTAGAAAAGTGAGTATTAATGAAATAAACAATAAATAAATATCCTGAAACATGAACAGCTCGAGGCTATAAGTAAAAGCTGAAAAAAATGTTGACAAAATAAGTACGTAAATGATATGATATGATAAAATATTTATAGTTCAAAGCTGCAAGAAAATATTTACATATATCAACAATTAATCTGAGATACGAAAATAAGTGCACTACCGTTTTTTCTAAACCGCTACCTATATAAAATCCGCATCAAGCAAAATAGAATTTGCTTCATAAAATTCACAAACCTGCACGAGCGAGCAGCATAATTAACTACAAAATAAAATTTTGTCCGGATCCAGACCGCTAAAATTCCCTAAAACCCCGATTTTTCCTCAACAAACTCAAAACCATTAGGTGGATCAAATTTAGAAGAACTGGTAGCAAGTCTGGATATAATCTTAATCTGGATAACTTACAGCCTGAAGATAAGATATGATAATTGTTCTTATAAAATATTAAATTTTCTGATTTTTTCAAAACAGCAAAAATCATTGAGAGTTTTCTCAAATCTGAAAATAAAAAGTGTTACTTTTCTACCGGATGAGTCATGCCATTAAATTTGCCAAACAGAAATTATTTATCTTAGGGGGACACTCTGAATTGTCTATAATGGTATTCTAAGTTTAGTCCTTCATCTAAACACTGGCGTCTGGGAAACTGACTTAGTCAACCGATTTGTGGCCATTGCTTGAAATTGGCACTTTTAAGTCGTTGCGTCGTGGCAAAGAATTATTCTCTCGTCTTTATCTATGATTCTTCCTGAGTGGCGCTTTAGAAGCATACATTTGAACATATTTATTTTCAAACAAGGATTACACCTTCTTATTGCTACTTAATCTACGGGTACTTATATATTAACATCAGTGGATTTATTGACATC